CTGTTTTTTCCTTCATTTCCTTACCTTTTCCTTCAAACCAAATATAGCTTAAGAGTAATATCATTGAAAATAAAGTCATTTCGAGCTTTCCAATTACACTAAAATTAGAACAACAGAAAAAATAAGCAAATTGTCATTATCATCAGCTAATCCTAACCAATAGCACATTGCTCTGGCCACTATTTCCACCAGTATATAACGTTGGAGCGCTTAGAACCAATAGCACATTGCTATACACCCAAACCAAAAGGCCCTAGCATGACCGCAGCACAGCAATGCATAGGTGATAGATTCAGAATCCTTCTCGCAGGCCGGGCCATCCCACAATGAGCTAACACATCTCTAACAGCAATGCTATCGAAATAAGATATTTGATTTTGGGGGATGCGTAAGGCCCAACTCTTTTTTTTCCAATGTTTCAGTTTCCGAAACTCTCAGAAGGGATTACTTTTTGATATGCAGTTCTAAGTTCTGACCGAACCAAAACACGTTTTAACTTTTAACTGAGAAACTACAATACACAAGTTAGAGGTTTTGTTCTTTCTTTGTCTCCAATCTTATGACTTTATGAGCGATGGCCGATGAGTCAATGTGCAAGCATTGAGATGATGGCTTGTTTCGCACAAACAAGTGGTCATGGTCACTCGCGGTGATTGGGGTGGATTCTGGCCGATCCAAGCTGAATAACTAGTTCTTTAAGATAGTATAAGGCTTGAGTTCGAGCTAAAGATTTAAATTTAAATTTGGCTCGAGTCAAAAGTTCATAAACTTGAACTTAGCTTGGTTCTAGTTCAACTATGAATCAAATGCTTTATAAAAGTAAAAAATTATATATAAAAACTTATTTTTTCTTTGTTATTTAAAAAATTAATATCTCAAGCTCAATTCATTTAATAAATAAGCATATAAGCTAGACTCAAACTTGACTCAAAGCTTTGTACGAACCAAGTTCGAATAATTAGTGAAAAACTAGACGATTTTTAGCTAATTAATTAAAGGAAAAGTTTCTGATAAGTACCCTGTACTTTAGGTCTAGGGTTAATTTAGTACTCAAACATTTAAATGCGACAATCTTAATACCCAAACTTTCAATTTGCCACAAATCAGTACCTGGTGTGGTGTTAATTCACCGTTAGTCAAAACCATCACGTGTGAGGTGCGATTTAAATGTTTTCATAATGCCAAAACTAATCTCTATGATAATTTTCGGACCATTTTACCCTTTTTTCTTATTTTTTCCCTTTCCCTTCATTTCGAGCTTCATTCCGAGCACAATGTTCACAGATGGTAAGCATAGCCCTCATTCCGAGCACAGTGTTCACAGGTGGTAAGCGTAGCCTTTCATTCCGACCTCCATGGTAATTTTCTGACCTCCTACTCTTGCTCGCGTAAGTGGTAAGCTTCGATCAACTGCAACTTGAAGGAACGACAGAGGAGAGGAGAGGAGACTGTTCACACGCAGGTTGAATGAACGACAAAGAAGGTGGTAAGCTTTAAACCCGTAACGTCTGATCAGTTTCATAAATTAGCAATCGTGCCAGAGTGGCTGAGTGGCTGCATGTCAGCCTGTCAGGTCGTCCGTTATGAGAGAGCGAAAGGTCTAATTCTGAGCATTGATGAGGGCGAGTAGAAATCTTCAAACACACATATATATATATATATATAATTTGGTTACAAGATTCAGATTTTATGGAGAATAGAAGCAAATATACCAAAGCCTTCGTGCAATTATGAGCTAAGAAATGGAAATTTTTCTTTTTATATCTAACAAAAGAATTATCTCATTTTCCCTGGCAAACCTTTAGATTTGGTCACAAGTGAGTAAGACAAAAGTAGAGATCTTAAAACATTTCAAACCTTTAGATTTCTTTACCATATATTGCCAGGGATAGTAATCAAGCTAACAGATCCTGGGTCACTTCAGCTGATACGTGTAAAAAGCTGGTTCTATGTGGTTCTGCTCTTTCTGTTGGAGAGAAGGTAAGTTAGTGTAGGCCCTTGGTTTATGGTTTGGTGCAGAACTGCCTTGTGGTGGTGTATTTCTCATAACCTGAACCAATTTGTCTGTTTACTATTTTGCAGAATCTCTTGAACAAGTTTGCAAGAATTACTGGTGCAACTGTTTCTAAGATTTGGATACCAAATGTCACTCATGTCATTGCAGCCACAGATGAGATAGGTGCTTGCAGCAGGACACTAAAAGTACTAAAGGCAATCCTAAATGGGAGATGGATACTGAATATTGATTGTAAGCCTCGTTTTGCTTGCCATAATGCATTATTGTTACTAGTGTATTAAGGTTTAATTATGTCAGTTTTCTTCTCTTTTTTTTTTCATTTATCTTTCATTGTATAAGTTAGTATTTTTTCTCTTATGCTAATGCCATACATGCTCCTGGTGGCAGGGATAAGAGCATGCATGGAAGCTATGGATCTTGTAGATGAAGAGCCTTGCGAAGTTGGCCGTGATATTCATGGCTGTTGTGATGGCCCCAAAAATGGCAGGCTCAGAGTCATGGATAATGTATACTCCCTCTCACACATGCATGCATGCATGCACGCACAAATACAACACACAGACATGGATAAGTACACAATGCAGGCACACGACATAGCTATCAAGGATTAATAATATTTGTATTTCTTGTGCAGGCCCCAAAGCTCTTTCATGGGCTAAAGTTCTGTTTCAGTGGTGATTTTGTTCCCTCTTACAAGGAATACTTGGAGGATTTGGTGAAGGCTGCAGGGGGTACTCTCCTGGAGGACAAGGTCAGCTCAGTCTAGCAAGGTGATGATGCACTTGCAACTCCAACGACCTTTGGTTGTGTACAGCCTTGATCCTCCACAGACTTGCAACTTAAGCGAGTTTTCTGTTATCGACAAAAGGCGCAGGGAAGCAGAAAATCTGGCTGGTGAAATTGGTGCTAAAGTCATTGGTCATACATGGCTTTTGGAATCGATCGCTGCCTGTAAATTACAATCCATTGACTTTTTATAGACTATTTTAGAATCAACTTGTTTAACTGTGGCAGACTACCTACCATGTTTATTAACTTGTAATCTGTTTCTTCAAACCTCCAGCTTCATCTTTTTTTTTTTTTGGTTATAAATTAGAATGTAGAAGCCTTGTAATTGGGTTGGTTGGCAAATAGTGAAGATATCTGGTTTGCTTCTAGAGAAGCTCACCGGCTAACTTTTAGCCCTGGAACAAAACGAGAAGAACATCTGGGCTTTTTCCATTGTACAAGTTAAATTAAATGTTGTAATGCAGGGTTTCTTTGGTATTACTTTCAGAGTTCAGCATGTGTTTTGTTTTCATGATAAGCTTGTTTTATCTATGCTTTTGTTGCACAAGATCTAAATTCTGGCTTTTATTGTAACCGGCCAAAGGAATGATTCAATCAAACAGAATAACGGATAATCTAGAACTTTTATTAATGCGACTGACCTTTTATTCTACTGGATGTAGAATGACAACCCTTGAAGCAGCAGGCTCAAATTCAGTCTGTCAAAATTGATCTAGATACTTAACAGTTTTTGTAACCTCCCAGGTCAAAGATATTAAGATGTAACTTGTAAGTTAAAACCGTTCACTACCATGTCTGATTGATCCCAAGTGCAATTGAAGGCAGTTTGTGAGGCATGGGTCTGCTCATCGAGGAATTAATATGAATTGGTGGTGGCGGGTTTTAGGGCGGAGGAGATTTGGCCGGAAAATGATTTGGAAGCCATTTATGGATGGCACAAGGTCCTAAAGTGGAGCTGTTGCAGGTTGCAGCATTTAGTCGTTGGTGTTTCTATCGTTGAGCATCTTGAGATGATTTTGATGTCGGACAAAAAAAATGTATTCTGTTGCCGGGACTTGAACCAGGGTCGTCCCTTCCGGCACCGGCAACAAGAGGTCGTCTTCTTTGGCAACGGTCGAGTTAGAAAAAGGGGTACCATTAGCAGATGTGATTTCTTCCTGCAATTTCTTTCACAATACACAGAGCAGATCTTCGTACGACGCTCTGGTTTGTCACTCGTCGATTTCAACTTTTCCGGCATCGTATTCCACTTGACGTTACCGGCGTGTGGAACTGGTTTATTCGGAACCAGGTAATAGAGTGGGTGAACCGTGGTTCCCACCTATAGAGAAAGGATTATAGCTGGGGTCATTTTCGTCATTTCAAAAAACAGTTCATACATTGTTGAACCTGCGTGTGGCTAATTATGTCTTTTTGCATTCTAACGATGTTAATGCCATGTATTTGTGCACTAGGCCTAAATTATAGGGTATTTCTTGGGAATTTTTCTATAAAAGGGAAATTGTCTAAAACTCCTACGAGTTTTTTTACATTTCTCTTCAACTCATCACAATTTTTCAAAATGTCTAAAACTCACTGTGTCAATAAGTTTTTATTTTCTAAAACTCACTTATGTTAGTACACCCTTAGTCAATAAGGTGTCATGTTAATGTAAATAACAACTTTCATGATCAAATTATCCTTCAATGGCGAGTTAGAGAAAAAATCACATTTTCATTTTTAGTCTTTTGTTATAATTTTTATTTTTTTACATTTTAAAATTTTCTACAATCTATAAAATTTCCTATATTTTTGTTATTTATTTACAACTTCTTTGTTTTTCTATAATTTTTAGTATTTTTTCTACATTTTTTATTTTCTAATTTTGTTTTTCAATTTTTATAGTTTCTATAATTTGAAAATCATTTTTTTTGTTTTGTTTGTAATTTCTATAATTTTTTATATTTTTATGTATTTTATATTTAAAAATATTTTTTTGAACTTTTTACCTTTTTCATGTTTAAATATTAAAATGATAATATATTAACATCCATTAATCTATTTTCTATACATTTTATATTTTATAAGGTTAAAATAGTAATATATTAACACTGTCACGTAAAGTTAGGGACATGGTGAATTTTAGACAATTTAAATTTTTTTGACAATTCCCAATTTTTTATTTCATTTGACTATTTTGTTGAACAGAGTCCTACTCATTGCCCAGTAGAAAACCTGCGACACCCAAGGTCCTTATCTGATATCTCCGATAACAATGGAGCTGAATTAGAAATTTACGGGAAGCGCAGAAGAGTCGTATCCCAACAGAAGCACCACCCGCCACGGCCAAGCCCTCCTCTTGACAACAGGAAAGCAACAGCTCAGAAACTGGGACAAAGCCATGGAAAGGTTCAGGGAAGCAGTGTTTGCACGCGCCATTGCCATTAGCAAGAACAAGTGCCTGTCAGAAGAGAGAAGGAAGCTCATCGAAGACCATCTTCGCTCTATATCCACTGTCATCTTGCGCACCCCAACTCACCTCCCTTATGCTGAGGTAGGTGGAGTCTTGTTTCGGTTTCTTTCGATCCTTGTTCCTTTTTCTTTCATGGGTTTCTTGAATTTTGATGTTTTGGAGGCCGGGTGGTCTTCAGATGATACAGAGTGCTATCAGGAGCTTGAACGAAGAGGGTGGTTCCAGTGAAGCTTCTATTTCGAAATACATCGAAGCAAACTACAATGGTCTTCCATGGGCTCACTCCCACATTCTGCCTTTCCATCTCGCCAGGCTCACCAAGGCGGGTGAGATCGTTGAATCTTCTGGTTCCCGTTATTCCCTCTTCGAACCAGGTCAAAACCCTAACTCTCACCCTCCAAAGCGACGCAGGAAGACTAACTGCAACTATCGAGACTTCGAGGAGGAGAAGGAAGGAACAGAAGGAGACGAAGAAGAGGATTGTAAACAGAAGATGCGGCATCCGAAGCAGCACAGATGTCGAAGTAGATGTTCTAGCGATGTTGTTAATGGCGCTAAGGTCCGACAAAGGAGGCAAGCTGCGGTTGTGATGGAGGAGGAGGCTTTACAGAAGCAGCAGCCTACAAGGCATTCCATGAGAAGGAGGTCTGAACGACAAGCCCAAGAACAAGAACGAGTGGGGAGTGAGTTAATGCCGTTATGCTTGGACGGTGATGATGAAGGGCCAGTGAATCCACCGTCCGAGCCACCTACAGGTGTGATGCAAGAATGGCCCTCCAAGCAGCAGCAACAACAACAATGGACGACGCGACGGGGAAGGTCTGCTAAGAAACGTAGACTTGAAACAGAGACTCCCCCAAAAGAACAAGCGGAAATCAATCCGATTCCTTCATCCTCTGGTATCGTCGATGAGCATGGCTCGGAGCCCTTGCAGCAACGACAAGAAGGAAAAGGGGAAATAGAATCATGTGCCACTGTTGATGCTGATGTTATGGTTATGATCGAGGAGCCACCCTCACAGGTGCAGGAGCAGCTGCAGCAACCAAAGCTTAATCATAATGATCATGGTATGAGTTTTGTCGAGGGAACTGAGTCAATGCGATCATGTCCTGTTGCCCCGGATGATCATGGGTTGACTGTCTTATCCAACAATTGTAATAGGGCCTTGGTGGAGGAGAAGAGACCTGTGATTGAAGAAGAGGAACTCATTTTGCAGGAGCAGACACCAGAGCGTAATGTCAATGGTAATGGTGGGTTGATGAACTGGTCTATTTGGCCTCAAACAGCTTTAATAGAACAGAAGGTTCCTTCACAGCAGCAGCAGAGGAAACGAGGTAGGCCTCCTAGGAAACAATTGCCTAGACAACAGCAACAACTACTACAAGAAAAAGCAGAGAAAAATAAAGCAGTTGAATCATGTGATGTTACTACTGATGATCATGGGCTGATGATCCTATGTAGTAAGTCCAGCTCTGTGATTGAAGAGAAAGGGCCCTCTTCACGGGAGAAGGGGCAAGGAGAAGAAACACCAGAACCAGGCGATATTAAGTTGATGCCATCATGCTCTGGGGACAATGATAATCATGACTTGGTGGCATCACTGGGTAGGGCTTCTATTGCTGTAATGGAAGAGAAAGGGCCCTCACAGCAGCAGCAAAAGCCAAGAGGACGAGGTAGGCGTTATAAGAAAACAGTGCCAAGAGGACGAGGTAGGGATCATAAGAAAGCAATGTGCCGACAGCAATATCAATTACAAACAAAACACGAGGAAAATAGTGAAATTGTGATGTTTTCTGTTACTGATGATGATTATGGTATGGCTTTTATAGAGGAGCAACTGTCTGTGGTTGATGTGGAGACCCCTTTACTGGAGCAAGAGCAGCAGCAATCAAAGCATAATCTTGTTGATGATCATGGATTGATGGATCCACTAAGTGGGCCATCTCTGAGTGTAATGGAAGAGGAGCCAAAACTGCAGTATCTACAACTGGAAGTGGGAAACAAGGAAATTGAACCATGTGAATTTACTGCTGATGATCATGATTGGATGGTTCTAGGTAGCAAGTCTATTACATCTATGATCAAGGAGGTGCCCTCTCTGATTGAAAAGGAACTCACTTTGCAGGAGCAGGAGCAACAAGTGAAACCACATCTTAGGGACAATGACTGTTTATTGATGGACCAACCCGGTAGCCAACCTATGGCTCTAATTGAAGAGCAGGAAACCTCAGACCATCAACAGTCATGGAGGATACGAGATATTGAGCACCAAGAACATCTACAGGGACAGCAAGCAGAGTGCTATGATGCTGGTAATGGGCTGATGGACCAACCTACTGGGCCACCTACAACTGTAATAAGGGACAAAGAGCCCTCACAGAATCAGCCACTGAGGCAACAAGGTAGGTATCCAAAGAAATTCTATGGACATAAATGTCTAAAGGAAGATCGCCATGATGATAATGAGTTGATGAACCGGCCTAATGGGCCACCTGTAACCATAGTGGAGGAGGAGCCCTCACAGAATCAGCCACTGAGGCAACAAGGTAGGTATCCTAAGAAAGTTTATAGACGAAAAAACCTACAAGAAAACGGTGGGGGAACTGAGGCAATGCAATTATATGCTGCTACTGTTGATTATGGGTTGATGGTCCTGCCTGGTAAGTGTATATCTACCAAAAAACAGTTTTATAGACAAAAACAACAGCTACAAGAAAAAGATGGGGGAACTGAGGCAATGCAACCATGTGCTGATACTACTGCTGATAATGGGTTGATGGTCCTACCTAGTACTTCTGTATCTACTGATAGTGAGATCAAGAAGATGCCTTCTGTGGTTGAAGAAAAACAGATGTTTCCACTGGAGCAGGAGCAGCAAGAGCAGCATACCTCATTGAAGCAGGAGCAGCAGCATCAACAACCAAAACGCCGAGGTAGGCCACCCAAGCCCAAGTACACTAGACCAGTTCTCATGGTGAAGTATCCAGACCAAGGTAGGTCCCCAAAGCCCAAGCCAGAGGCACCAGTGTCTGAACAGCAGAAACTACAGCAACAAGAGGTAGAAGTTAGATCTGAGACACTGCAGTCACATGTTGTCACTGGTGAAAATGGCTTAATGCTCCTAGAGAAAGAACTTCCTTCACAGGAGCTTGACCAGCCAAGTCCCTCACTAGAAGAGGAGAAACAGCATCAGCAGCCAAAGCGTCGAGGTAGGCCTCCCAAGCCCAAACCATCCAAACTAGTTATTGAGATGAAGTATCCAGTTCAAGATAAGCCTCCAAGCCCAAGCCAGACACAAGTTCTGAATGTGAAGCGTCCAGGTCAAGGCCGGCCTCCTAAAGCCAAAGTCAACAACAGCTAGAGTGGAGGTACATATTTCTGTATGATTATTATCCTTTTGATAGAGTTATAATCAGACTATAGACTTAAAATTTATATCAACAAATTAATTTCTTATTTCTTTTTTAATTTTATAATTGATTATTCTTTTCATTGATGGACTTGCTCATTGATTTGTGGAACAGTAAAATGACTTCTGTCTTCCCTTTCAGATTTGAATGATAAGAACAGCAAAGACAATTGGTGATGATCATATTGAATTCATTTCTCCAATGACATACTTCGTACATTATTCATTAACCTACAGCACAAGTAGTTTAATTAGGATGTGCCCTCCTGCAATTTATAAAGTTAGAATGGAGACTTGACTTTTCTGAGTTTTGAAAGTTCATCACACTTCAAACTTTGTCCAGTATATTTGTATATCATTGATCAGTGGAAACATCTTACTCAGTTATTTGTCCTTAGTTCTGATCTTTCCTTGTTTTATATGCTCCAAGCTTTTAGATGATGCTTCCATTGAGCTACTTGCTTCAGATGTATATGCTCCAGCATTCATATATGTCAAGTTAAATTTACATTTTCCAGCATTTAAAATTTAGAGTGGTTATAAAGATAAAGGGGCCATTGCTTGCTGTAATGATAAATTCTTGGGCTCACAAACATAAGGACATGATTTGAGTCTGAGAGTTGCAGCTTTGTGCAAAAAAATGCCATAACTTAGGTCTGTATCCAGTCTACTAATTCTCTGAAGATCACAAATAGCTGGGACCAGCATTGGACCCTTTTCAGTGATTAGAAAGCTAAGAGCATTAAGATTATGAACTTCTATATTTTAAAAGTCAATCAATATATATTGTTCATCAAAATCTCTCTCCCTCTCTCCTCCACTGTCTCTCTTTTTGGGACCTCCACACAAGAGCCTCAAATCACATCAGCTTTTGAAAGGGATGACACTTCATTAACTGATCTGGAAAAAAAAAATCCAGAAACCAACACATCTTCAAGACTACAAAGCATCCACTGCACTTCTCTCTCTCCAACCTGAGAACAGGGGTAAGTGGTTATTTCAATCTACTCACAAGCTTCACTACAGGGCTCTTCTGGCCCACCATTTATCCACCATATATGCAGAATGCCAAATACAACAACAGCCTCAGCGGTGCAAGCGGGAATCACCTAAGTAGCATCTTGAATCTATTAGTTCCTTTGAAGTTTACAGCGAGCAACTGCAACTATAGGATAAGGCAAGCCTAAATCTTCTTATTGAAAATTCCTTTATTACTTTTATTTCTCTAGTATCATAGTCTCCTACATTGTGATCTACTTGTTACATTATTTTGAAGCTTTATACAGTAGGTTACAATTAAAGCCTTAGTTCCAATAAGATTTGCATCCCTTGGCTCTTATGTGTACTCATTTAATTTTATTCCTTGGTATCCTAAGTTTAAGACTCATTAATTCTTTTATCATTGGGAGAATCTAAAATCACATATTAACATATATTCATTAATCATCATTTTTTTTTAGCTTTCACATTTTGTACTCCCACACATGGTGTGAAGGAAATCAGTCAGTGGATTGGCTAGCTCAAAAAGGGCACTCTACTTTCATTTCTAATCTTCAGAATATTGGTTTGGAATTAGCTTATGATTTTTTTTATGAATGTGTGACGTATGGATGTTCTCCATGCCTCCTATACCCCACCCAAGAGAAGGGAAGATAATGAACTTGTGGTCCCTGTGCAGTATCTTGTTGAACAATTTGTTACGCGTGTTTTGTTCAATTTAATACAATACTTCACCTTTTTTCTCACAAAAAAAGAAAGAAAGAAAGAAAGTGGTGTATCCTTGGGAAGATTAACACTTGTGAGTTGTGACATGCTACAGAAAAGAAGGCCAAATAAGTGCCTCTCTTCTCATGTGTGTCCTTTGCAAGGAAATTGGTGAGACCCTCCCCCATTTACTATCACCTGCCCCTTTGTATCATGTATATGGAAATATGTCTGTTCTCTCTTTGGTTGTAGACGAGACCCCCAGAGGATGTGGTAGGCTTATTCAACTCCAATTAAGGAAACAGAAGAAGAGAGGAAGAGTTATGTGGAGGACAGCAAGAACAACGTTGGTTTGGACTGTTTGGGAAGAAAGAAATCAAAGAATCTTTAATGAGAAGAGTAAATCAAAGGAGAAATTGATTGAAGCCATAACAGTAAAAACTGCACATTGGGTAAAAACTATGGACCTTTTTTTGAGAATTCTCAACAGATGACATAATAAAATCCTGGACCGTAGTGGCACAAACAATTAGACCTGTAGAGAGTGTAAAAATGGTTTAGAATCTGGGTAATCTAGGCAGGGTAAGAATAGGAGGTGTTTTTTAGAAACCACAATGGAGTGGTGTTGGCCCCGTTTTCAGGACCAATCAGTTTTGGAGATTCAGCCCAGGCTGAAGTTATGGCTCTCTTACATGGATTGAGGCTTGCAGTACATCTCAGAGCAAGGGAATTTCATATTGTAATTTCCTGGTCCAAGAATTTCAGATTGGCTCCTTGGAAATACATACATTCTTTTAGGGAAATTGATACCCTTGCAAAGAAATTCAATTCTACTTTTGGCTGGATAAGGACTGCAAATGGGTTGGCAGATGTTCTGGCAAAGCAAGGAGTTGACAAACTTTGTTTTGGGCAAACCTGTAACCTACTGTACTTTGGGCTTTTGGGAACCTTTTATTCCATTTGGATCTCTTTGTTACTGCAGTTTTGAGAGCTTTTGGGGATGACATCCCTGTCATCAAACTGTGTTAACTATTGCTTAATTAAATCTAATAAAATAATTTACCTTTTGCCGATCCAAAAAAGAAAGAAAGAAAGAAAGGAAGAAAGAACTTACGGTTCCCATTTTGAAAATTAATTTGGAATTTCATGATTGATCAGTATTATGTTGTTTGTTTAGATCATTATCCATTTACACAATGACCACATAAGGGCACCTCATTACAACAAAGTTGGCATTTAGCAGTGACTTTTGTAGTAGTGGTTTGTATAATAGGACACTCTTTTACGGTGCTTCCAGCAATCGACTCTACATTAATACTAAAATTCGCTACAATAGTGGTAATCATTCTGGTTTCTTTTCAACCATTGATTGCATCAAAAACACGAAACATAAAAGTTTGTCGGTATTACAACGCTTTCTCTTCCTGTGCTAAAAAGCCCTTTTCGGTTTTCTCTCTTGTCCCAAATGTGAAGACCATCTTTAGTCTTGGAACCCGAGGAAAGCTCTCTAGGAACTTCAAACAACTTAGCTTGGATGAGTCGGGGAAGAAGAAGCTCAAGATTGATGCCTATTTGGTTCAAGGAAGACCACTGTAGCAATTTGAACAGCCATCAGCCACGTTGAGAATCTCATCAAAGGTGTCACTAAGGATACTAATAGAAGATCAGGTTTGTTTATGCTTCACTTCTCCATCAATGTCGGCATCACCGGTGGTAACAAGAACATAGAGATCCGTATCTCCCTTGGTGAGAGATAATATTACATTATTAACAGACCATCATCTTCCACTTTTTTCGTAAGGTTCCATTGTCTTAGTTCTCTATAACACCATGGTTTGCACTTATTAGTAGTATTATCTTCTAATGCATAGAAATATAATGTTTTTCTTCTTTCTTCCCACCTTATGTTCCTTTTCCCTAATTTATTGGGCAGTTTCTTCTTTCTCCATTCTATTTGGGAGTTGAGTTCTTTCAGGTTCAGTTTTTGAGTCTTTGGTGTAGGCCAAGCTGAGATGGATTGTATGTTTTTGCTGTATAGTTTGGGGAGCCAGTCTATTTTTTTGAATGGATTGATTCCCCTTTCATATGTCATTTACCATTAAAAACTACAGCCATAGCCTATTGTTTCAAACATTTGATTTGGGCTTGCTTTCTAAGGCCCTGTTTCGCAATGTTCCGCAAGAACGTTTTACGCGTTCCCGGTGTTCTCACGGAGTAGAAACGCATTTTGTACAAGAAGAACAAAAAAAATGGTGTTCTTGCATGGAAACAACACCCAAAGAACGTGTGATTTTTCTCCCACCACAAAGATGAGTTATAAACAATCTCTAACTGATGCGATCTGAAATCGTTTTTCTTGTATTATTTTGTTTGCATTTGTTATATGTTGTGTCGAATGCGTGTGGTTTCTTCTCTAATCCCATCGATGGCTATATGTTATGCCGAATGGGTGGGGTTTCTTCTATAATCCCATCATTGTGTTTTGTTATGTCTTTTGTTATATGTTAAATATCATGAAGATTGCCATTACTGCTTGCGGGTGTTGTTGCATCATGGCATGTTGGACTTTTGTTTTATTGCTTGTGTGTTTTGTTTTGATCCTCAAGTGATCAAGGATTAGGTGGTGACAATATGAAGACATCGCTATGACAATGACACGTGTTTTTTATGGTTAATTTTAGGCTTAATGTGAGTGGATTTGCAAAACTGATGTTAAGAAATAGTTTCATTATCCAAATGCTATTTCTGTTCCTGTAGAACAAAAATTCATTCTCTAAGAACAATTTGCCAAACGTATCTGTTACTCCTGAAGAACAAGAAATAAAATTCTTGTTCTGGAACAGGAATTTTTAAAAGAACAAGACCAGGTGGGAACATTGCCAAACAGGGCCTAAGGCACAGAGAAATGAGAGAAAAAGCATGGAGAACAGAACAGGTTTTGTGAAGACATCATGAAGAGTAGACACAGAGCAAGGCTTGAGAAGAACGATAGAGTAGGGACTGCTAAGCTCCACTGCTTGACTACAAATGAAAAGAGTTTGCTCCTCTATTGTTGCATCTAGGGATGATTTTTCTGTAGGTTCAAATGTCCCCTTGAATCATTGTAGTTATTTTTGTTTTTTATTCTTTATGTATTTTTCAAGTACTTGTTTATGGTTGTTTTGTGGCGAGAATGACTTTTTTATTTTATAATTTGGAGAGATGTTTAGTTATCTGTGGATTTTTATGAAGGCTTGACCAAGCAGTTTGCACATCTCCATCTTTATAGTTAACTTGTTCATTTAAGTTGTATTATTGCTCCTATTATTTTCATATCTAGACTAGAGGTTCCGTAGATGCACTTTAAGAGTAGTGATATCCTTAATTACCATATCATTGACTATTCACAAGTTGATAAACTTGTAAGGCTAACTAGGTTTTTTTTTTTCTTTTTTCTTTTTTTATCAGTAGAAAGATTTCATTAATAATTTATTAAATTTAGTACATATTGGGACATTCCTTAAACCATTCCCCTTTCTCAGATTACATCATATTACAATTTTGCCCAAAATAGAAGAGGCCTGTTAACTCCTTTTTTTTTGCAAGCACATCTGCTACCCCATTACCAGTCCTTACCCAACTGAAAGTCGCATTGAATCTTTTTGCTAGAGCATCAATTCACCTAAAAGCTTGCCTATACTTCCAAGGGGCTGATTTGATTTTCTTTGTCCAAGCTATGACTAATTGTGAGTCTCCAATTTCCAGTTCTCTGATTTCAAGTTGTGCAGCAAGCCTCATTCCTTGTAGCGGAGCTCATATTTCAGCTTGAACTGAATCTCCAATGCCAATTGGACCTGAATACAAGGCCACTATCTCTTCCCGGTTATTTCTGAATCACCCCGTGCCTGCTCTTCCTGGGTTGCCCACTGAGCTGCCATCAAAGTTTAATTTCAAACTATTCCTAGTTAGAGGTTTCCGATCCATCTGCAATTTTTCTACAAATCTATCTGATTGTGCTACAACAGTCCAAGCCCTTAAGATTTCATTGGTTATAAGGCCAGCTATGTTGTATGGAGCAAAGTGTTGGGCAGTCAAGAAACATGTCCAGAAAATGAATGTGGCAGAAATGCGAATGCTAAGATGAATGAATGTAAAAACTAAAACGGATAAGATTAGGAATGAAGTTATCCGTAAGAACCTAGATAAAATGAGAGAGAGTAGATCAAGATGATTTGGGCACATGCATTGAAGACCACCAACTGCACTGATTAGAAGTGATTTGTACACATTGAAGGAGCTAGAAGAACTTAGATGATTTAAGCACTAACAATTTAACAATGAATTTGACTTAAAACAGAATGGATTGATAAAACGGGATTCATTTAGTTGAAAATGATGACAACAACAATGATGATGATGAATAAACACTTGGATCTTCCCAATTTATTTTACTTAGCTATCTAATTCTTTCGATTGTTTTTTAGAGTTTTTGATCAACTCATTTTTTCTTCTCATTTCTGTTCTTTGGTTGTTTTTTATTCATACTTTTTTGTTTGCATTTTATACATTTGTTAGAGTCAAGGTTGTGGTTCTCATTCAATTGGCTCAAAAAGTCGGGCTAGAAATAAATGATCAAGAAGAAATCAGTATTGAACCTAGGGGTGTCAATGGTATTCGAAAATCCGATTTCGAATTCGATATTCAACATAATCGAATCGAATTCAGATATGACCTGATTCGATTCGATAAATATCTGAATTCGACCGGTTATTTAATTCTTATATATAATATATAAAATATTTTATATAATTTATATATAATAATTAAGTTATATAAATAATTTATATATTTATATACTTTATATCAATAAAATATTTATTAATTATCTAAAGTAATTAATTAATCGAATTCAAATCGAATTGAATATTCAAATATTTATCGGATTCGAATTCAGATATTGCCTGATCTTATTCGAATTCGATCTGTTTACACCCCTAATTGAACCTGAATGCAAGCCAAGCTTAAGATACAAAGGCATCACTAGCGAAGTTAAGATGTGTTGGACAATGAGAACCTACCTCAGACTAACAAGCTTGGGGTACAGGCCAAAATAGCTCTAGTACAGATAGGCTAGAGAAGAGGAATACAAACACTAGGGTGGCTCATCTGATCAAATGGAATAGGGGATAGAAGTCTGGCCCATGCTTCAGATATAAACACAACCCAGTCCCAAGTACAGGCCAGGCTGAAAGTCTAGGGTCTGTTTGTCCACTGGCGTTGGAAGACCAATATGTATTGATTTTCTTTGCATTTCCTACACTAGAGGACATGTGGTAAGATGATCTGTGCAGGTCTGTGTCCAAGTTGAAGCCAAGTTGACACCTAGACTGGTGGCAAGCTATGGGTTTTCTAGACCAATTTACAAGTCCTGATCTCCATACAAAAGACGTATTTTAGAAATACGAAATAGGCACCCGCCACGCCAGCAAATGGGGTGCCTACATGGTTCGTATACTTCGACCAAATAATGGGTGAATATGAGTTGGAATTGATGCCAATTTATGGGTGAATATGAGTTTATAGAATGTGGATTTTTTATCTTTTAAATGTTTATAACTGTGCAATGAAAATCAGAAATCTGTATTGGGCCGTACCTCTCCAATAATAACCCTAAAGCGGGTGGGTAGAAAGTGCAGGTCCATTAGTCAGGGTCCTTGGCACATTTATACATGTATAACATTCTTTCTTATTAATTAACAAAGATAACATTGTTGCTGGTAAAAAAAAAATCTAACAATACTATCTGTTTCTTTGATCAAAATAATTAACTTAATACTCCTTCAATAATATAATTGACTTCAAAGTAGTTTTGTCATCATTAGCTATATAGATGTGGGCCCATTGCTTTTGGTCCTTTAAAATGTCTTCCGTTGGACGAGAGAGAGAGAGAGAGAGATTGAGTGACTGAGAGTGCATGTCGCCAATTGGTGTACTTGGCATAGCTGTTTTTGACTGTATATTTACTAAAAAATGCAAGGGAATTCTGGGCAATTTGATTTGAAAAAAAAAAAAGAAAGAAAGAAAGAGCAAATAAGCCATGGTTGGGACGATTCAATCAGCTTTGCAGGTGCTCAAGTTTCTTTATCTAAATTTTCGTCCTATCACACTTAACTAATTGACAATTATTAGTATCGGCTGTATCTCATATTAAAATTTTCCAGTATCTAAAAATTCAGTTATTTCTAACGTTTCTCTAAAGAATTGTATCATTCTACTACTACTTTAGAGTACAGAAGTGATACTTTTGTTGATGTGTTACTTATTATTATTATTTGATGAATAAATGTGCTACTTATTTCTTTTAGGCCCCTTTTGTTTTTGGGATTTTGAAGGGGGATCCCATTGACCAACTTACTCATGTTCTTATTTCATAAACATGTGGAACCCACTGCAAAACTGATTTTCCTAGGTATTATTTATCTAGGTAAATGATACCCTTCTCAATCTTGGGTAAGTTGAGTTTCCCAAGTAGTGGGTAAATGGAAAAAATTAAAATGGTAAAAAAAAATGCCTTCACAAGATACATTTTACCCAAGTAAATTAAACAAAAAAGAACATGGGTAAACACTTACCCAGGTAATTGCACTTACTCGGGAAAGTAGGTTCCTGAAAAACTAACATAAATTAGTGGTGAAATTATTTCTTTATTCCTTTACTCAAGAAAAAATATATAGTAAGCATCTTGACAAAATAGAAATGAAGCATCTCCAAGTACATACGGTTTACAACATGGTTTAGAATCATGTTTATGATTGATATATAACATAAATAACAAACACTACTCTAGGAGGGTTGTGGCTGCTGTTTGGTTCCATCTTTAAATGATTGGTACTAGGGTCCACTTATAGTAGGATTCTAGGGAGTTTTTGCATGCGAATATGCATGGTTTTGATTTTCAAACAAAACACTACTATGTCAGAAAAAATAATATTTGATAACATCTAGTCTCAACTTTGTTTCTTTGGCTAGGAGTAGATATAATCTTGTTATTCAATGATCATTTTCTCCTTTGCTTTCTATGGTGTAGTTTGTGACTCTTTGCAACGCATGTTGAACTTTTTAGGTTTGACAATCAACACTCTAGGGATTTAGCAATTAGTCTTGGCAATAGTGACATAGCAAGATAAGTTATAAAATCGTGTATTATATGATCCTATCTTCTCTCCAACCATATGCATGAATTTGCAATCAGTATATCTATAACTTTCTTGTGGCTGGAGAAGAAATCCAACACTTCCAAGTGCTTTACATTTTGATCTCCAGACCTACAAAGAAGTAGGTCTGGTCTGTCATTTGCAACTAGATACTATTGGTTTAAAAATTAGGAAAAAAATGTATTGAAAGAGTACAAGAGGAAGGAAGAGGAAGTTGATAAGATTGACGGAGAGATGAGAGAGGAGGAAACTCCAATTAGGAGAGGTCAACCCACAAACCCTCATAATGGGAAGGAACGGAAAGGTGAAGGTGAGCCTGTTATGAAGGATTAGAAAAAGAAAAGCAAAAAGAAAAATAAAGCAGAGGTGGAGAGGTTAATTTCTGATGTTGAGAGAGACATTGAGTTTAGTGGTAGAGGGGAGAGAATGAGGGTTCCCTATTGAGGAAGCCTCAGTCTACAATGGGGACTATTGTTAGTATGTGTCTGAATGAAGATTATTAGTTGGAATATAAGGGGTTTAGGAGTGCCAGGAAAAGAAGGATAATAAAGTACCTCATGAGGAGAGAGAGAGACCTAACATAGTGATGCTACAGGAAACCAAATTAGCAGAGTTAGACAGGAGATGGGTGAGAAGTGTGTGGAAACCTAGATGAGTGAATTGGAGCTCAGCTCCGTCTTGGGGGCTTCTAGGGGTTTAGTTACTTTATGGAGAGAGGATGTGGTGGAAATAGTAGAGGAACTCATAGGATGGTTTTCCGTGTCTTTTGAAATTGAAAAGTCGGGATGATGGGTTTACTTGGGTCTTAACTAATGGATGCAAACTAAACAATTACAGAGAGAGATTAATTATGGAAGGAATTGTATGGCTAAATGGATTATGGAATGGCCCTTGGTGTTTAGAGGGTGATTTCAATGCAATCAGATTTTGCAATGAGTTCAATAACCCTCGAAGTGTAGTTACAACAAGCATGAGAAAACTCTACGAATTCATCAATACTTACTGGTTGAAAGAGATTTCCTTACTACAAGCCAATTTCACTTGGTC